GGCAGGGTCAGGAATTAAAAGCAGATGGAGGGGGAACTCTGCTCCTGGCTTTAAAAAAAAAAATCACCTGGCTGAGCAGAGAGATAGGGGGAGTGCACCCATGTAGCTTTTTCAGAGCTCATCAGTCTTGGAAGGAATTTACTAGTGTTTTGAGATCCTTGAATGAATGATAAAATAGTCAGATCAAGTATTAAGACTAGCATATGCGCTGGTAAAAGCAGGTATAGGACTACTCAAGCCAACCAGGTAGAAAATTCAAGGCCCAGTCTAAGATTGGGAACTTTTGCTATTAAATGAAGGAAGACCTATTTCTTCTGTACGCAGCAGGAGGCTGCCATAAAAATAAAGGTCTGCTCCTAACGATCTCACATCTGTGCCTGAGGAACAACTATAAACCTGTATCTACTAAAATGTATTTCAAGACACCTGAAGCTTTCGACACTGCCCAAAATAATCTTGTACACCATGGTCACAGTAAGAGCAATTCTCAGACAGGTGGTAGCTTTTTGTGTCTTATGGCACTACAAAGACTATTTCCCCAGGAGAATAGCATTATGCCATTTTATGAGCAGGGAAGTGGAGGCCCAGCACACACACACAAACTTTATGGAAGGTCACCAAGCAAGTCAGCAGCAGAGGTGCAATTAGAACACAAAACTGTCTGACACCATCCCCCATTTGGAGCACTTCACTTTGCAGAGCCATTCCCAGGTTCATATAATATAAACAGCAGGGATGGTAAGAAGGTGAGTAGGCAATGAGTTCTGCATTCAGTATAGCACTGAATCTGCTTATATTCACACTAGGGATGTAAGTGACTAGTTACCGACAAGCAAATGCTTATCGGTCAGTCAACTATCCAGTGCAGGGGGAAGTGGCCAGACAACCAACACAGGATAAGGAACGCTCGGAGGGTAGGGAGCTAGGGATGGGTTCTGGAGTGACTTAGGGGATAAGGCATTGGCCTGGAATGCCCTCATAACCAGTGACTAAGGGGTTAATTAATGGTCTGTACCTATCCAGGTATGGGGTGGTCAGCCAATAACAATGCAGGTAGGAATTTCACAGGGGGAAGTGGCCAGACAACCAACACAGGATAAGGAACGCTCGGAGGGTAGGGAGCTAGGGATGGGTTCTGGAGTGACTTAGGGGATAAGGCATTGGCCTGGAATGCCCTCATAACCAGTGACTAAGGGGTTAATTAATGGTCTGTACCTATCCAGGTATGGGGTGGTCAGCCAATAACAATGCAGGTAGGAATTTCAAACTGGAAGAGAGGGTTAGGGCTGTTAGAGCTCTTGTACATTCCAAAAGCAGGGAGTGCAGGGCCAGCGGGGGACTGCTTGAGTTCCCCGCTGGCCATGCTCCCCACTGCACTTCTACCTTGGAAATGTATTAGGAGCTGGCAGGACTCTTGCTGCATTTCAAAGGCAGAGGTGCCCTTATCGACAAATCGAATAGTGGATGCAAGTTACATCGACTATTCAATTAGTCAACTAATCTAAATGTAGCACCACCATAATTTGTTCTTCGCTCAAGCAGTAGGTGAAGCTTTTCTAGCTAGAGCCGGGATAAATCTAGACAAGAAAGAGCAAGATCCACCACACTTTTCAGATGAAACATCAAGCACACACAAATTGTGACTATTAACTCCTAAATAATTAAATAGAGCTATCGACACCACCCATGAAGATCAGAAGTTGGTGTGACCATTAGGTATTCAAACAATCTCTTACCTACCCATCTCCTCCTCTCAGAGATTAGGGCTTTTACCCTTTCATATCAAAGGCAAACAAACGATGCCAGGACTCTTAGAAACCATCAAGTCCTATAAAAGTTTCCAGAACATCCAGCTGCAAAAGCCTCTTAGCTATAGGAGCAAAGTAACAATGATTTGGCAACACAACACATGTGTGCTGTAAATACACTAGTATCGGTCACTTTGTTCTCACTATCATCCCAGGTTCCTATGATTACGTGTGTGCAAATGTAAAAATCAGATGGGCTTTGGAAAGCTGTTTGCCAAGAGCCCCATCAAATAAAGCATAATGGATTCATGACAGTGCCCAGGGGAGGCTAAGAAATGCTCCTTTTCCATAGCCCCTTTCGTATACAATTGGGACACCTGGTCACTCTAGACCAGGGGTGGGGAACCCTTTGAGTCAGGGCCACTCACTTCACAGAAAAACCAGCCAAGGGCAGCACAAGTGAAAAGCCAAAAAAACCCACCCACCTCTCACTGATGTGGCTCCCAACTAAGAGAAAGACACTCCCCACATTCCCCTCACAAACAGGGCCGGACTGAGCCATTCCGGCACCCCAGGCAGACAGTTTAATTGCGCCCTGGGTTGGAGGAGGGTGCATGCGCAGCCCCACCCCTGCACCAGCTCATGGGAGAGGGCGTGCGGAGCTGGTGGCAGCAGGACACATGTGTCTGGACCAGCCCAGCCCAGCTACCACTGCTGGCGTGCAGCCCGGGGCGGACTAAGCCTGGCCATGCAGGGCCCTGCAGCCGCAGGGGGAAGGTCGCTGCTGGCTGTCATTGCAGGGGTTAACGCAGCCCCCGACCCGGACGGCCACTGCAGGGTGGCTGCTACTGCAGCCCGCGATCTGGGAGCTAGGCCTAATGTCAGCTATAAGGGGCTTGCAACTGCCTAGCTAGCTCATGCTTTAATCCAGCCCTGCTCACCCACCAGAGCTTGGGAAGGGGGGGGGGAGGGGGGAAGGCAGCCTAGTCAATTGTGCGCTTCAGCCCTGCAGTGGGACTGGAGCAACTGCGTGGACTCCCCAATGCTAGCAGGGAAGCTTTGAGCCTCGGGGGCCTGGATCCAGGCAAGTGGGGCCACATCCAGGTCCCAAGCCTTAGGTTCCCCACCCCTGCCATAGATGAACAAAAGGAAAAGTTGATAGGATTAGCAGAAGGAAGCGGAGGTAAGAAAAGCCCTAGTCTTAACATGCACCCAGCTTCTTCCCTTGTCACATCAACTGGCAATACTATTCTCTCCCCCCCCCCCCTCAAAAAAAGAAAAGAAACCCATACCACACCCACAAACCCACGCCTTGGAATCTGAAAGTCAACTTCTGTGAGCTAGAAAGAACCCAGCTTAACTAAAACAAGTCTTGTTTTCCCATGTGCCAGAGCAGAAATCTAGTTCCTGCAGCTTTATTCACCCCGGATCACTCACTAATTGGCTTCAGTTTTGATAATGTTTCTTACATAGAAGTCATAAATTGTTAGGTCAATACAATCAGCAGCTATAACTGAATCCATACTGGAAGTGTGCCATGGTGCTATTTTTAGACTAGAACCATGTTTCTATTTGCTAGCATTCCTGAGAGAAATTCTCCCATGCTAGGTCAAGGATGTCTTATACCTACAGGTGACCCTGAAGAAGCAGGAAATGCGTGAAGAACTTAGTTGAGATTCTCCAGTGCCAGTTTAGATTATTTCTGCAAGGTAGAGTCTACTCCCCACCCCTTGACTCCTACAATGAACATGGGAATGAGCCATCAATCTAGTGTCTGCTGGCTTACTGTTACAAGAGCCTGGATAGGGCATTATAGGCCCTAGGAAAGAGGTGTAAATTTTTCTAAAGTCCTTAGGGAAATTATCAGCTTATTTCAAAGCAAAGATAATGAACACACTGCTGAAGTCCTGTGTTGGTTGAACTGCTACAGTAGTTCAACACCACCACGTGACAATCTGAAGCTTGATCAAGAGTCCTCGCTTATCAGCACTGGAGTACCAAGTGAAACACTACTTTGGGAAATAAGCGATTCCCCCCTCCCCTCCATTCAGAGGATGGAAGAAACATGAGTCTTTTGGTCCTCCCCCAGCCCTAACGAGAGAGATGGGAAAGTTGCCTCTAGTTGCCTTCACAGAGTTGGCTTATTTCCCTGGGGTGGACAGACCCAGTAAAACGCTATCAACAGCTCACTGCTATGCAGGGGGTTACACTTGAAGGTAAGCCTTCCCCGCCATTCCTGAGACCGCAAGGTCAGGCAGCCATTTGTCTTTGCCCCCTTCCCCTTCTACCCACATGAGATTATTATAGGGATTGGAGACTGAGCAGTATTACTACCTCTGGCTCAATGAGGGTGTGTCTACACAGCAACTCTGTTATTTTGAAATAATTCAGAATGGACAGCTTATTCCAACTTCTATAAACCTCACTCCGTGAGGAACAACACCTCTTCCAAAATTGCTATTTCAAAATGCTGTCATGTGACAGCTGCACCACTGCTGCTATTTCAAAATCGCTCCTCCCAGGGCCATTCAGAGTAATTACCCCCTAGTACTTCCTGGGGCTCTAAATTGTGGTAGTGCGTCCACATTAGGGGAGCCTGCCTCAATCTAATTTTGAGGCTTCCCAGCAGTGTAGACATGCTATTTCATAACATAACAGCCATAGTGGGTCAGACTAAAGGTCCATCTACCCAGTATCCTGTCTGACAGTAGCCAATGCCAGATGCCCCCACAGGATCACAACAGGTAATCCTCACATGATCTCTCCCCTGTCACCCATCTGCAGACAAACAGGCTAGGAACACCATTCCTACCCATCCTGGCTAATAGCCATCAAGGGACCTAACATCCATGAATCTAGCTCTTTAACCCTGTTCAAGTTCTAGCCTTCATCACATCCTCTGGCAAGGAGTATTTCTTCTGGAATAGCTTATTCCAAAATACACATGCAATGCAGATGTAACCTGAGAAAGCTTACAAGGAGCCTAACTGACTGAGAGGAGAGAAAATTAGATCCTAAGTGAGGTCAGTTATAGGAGTTCTGTCCTAGTCGGCCTGGGCAAGTGTCTATCTTAACAGTAGAGTTAAGAAACCCAATTGAGGCTAGTAGGATGAGCTAGTGTCCTCCATGAGATATATTTTTTTAGAAAGCCATGTAAACTGACTTGTGCTTTTGTATCTGAGCACAGCTGAGAACCATCTCACCTCCACTGTAATGCAAGACATTTTTCAAGAGCTTACCTCTCTATCCAGTCACTTGGAAGAGCTAAGAGTGGGATAGCCTTGTTCCCATAGGCCTAGGGATTTGAGACTGCTCTTGAGTATAGCAGGTACTGAGCTAAAAACAGACTGGTGACATGAAGTTGCTTTTTGCTAGGTATACAAGCTATAAACACTGTTCCACATGACTTATTTGGAATACCTGTGTAGCTTTATACCCACCCATTATTACTGCAAACTCCAATAAGTAGACTTTAGCACACAATCATCAGTATTATATGACAGCCAAGTCCTTCTTTATTTGTCCTGGAAACTCAAAACTATAATGTCCAGCATCCCATTTTTTTTTTTTTAAACATGACAAACAATCTATTTGAGATCACAGTACATGGGAGTGAACAAGTTAAGAAGGACCAACCATTCTGAGCCAAAGTGCTTAGGTAGGGTCTGGCTCATAGTAAGTTTGAAAATCCTCCAGAGTCTAGGCACAGTTGTGTCAACTCCCCCACCCCATCTGAAATTAAAAGTAGAATAAAATCAGTTTCTCCCAAAGTACCCCTGGGCAGACTTCCAGAACTGGCTTTTAAATAGTTTGCTATTAAAACAAAAAAAGCCACTTGTTAAGTACACAAGTTTTTCCCAAACCTAAAGCAAGGTTATCATGTCACTTTAGTCTATGAAAGAAAAAAAACAGAATTATTCTAAATTCCTCCAGTAACAGTCACCTTCCATTTACATTCAGGGACAACCAAAAAAAGAATGAAACAGTCTGACAATTTTTCCAGTGTCCATGAATACAGCCCAATCAGAACCAGGTACATGCTAAGAGTACTAGAGAAGCAAGACTTCTGCACTTGGAAACAATCTTCCCATCAGATAGGACACCAAGGCTGAGAGGAACAAAGTTAACCTGAACTCTGAGCCAGATGTGACAGGAACTGGTTTCCTGTTACTCTCATTTCCTGCCAGGCAAAAATGCTACACCCCTGATCTAGTGTAATTTGGCATGTCCCTCAGTAAAGGAGAAGGGCTATTCCAAGCTGGTGGACAGGCTAAGGGGTTAAATTAAAAGGAAGCTCCAAGAGAAGAGAAAGTCCTAATTTAAATACTCTTAAGAGGTTTGAAAAGGTAAGTCAAGTGTTACCACAAGATTAGTTAGCAATAGAAATCCCCATGCTTGTCTCAACAGCAAGTCACTCTATAAATGGAAATTTCAAATTTTTACCAAACTTTATTCGGAAGAGGTAAAAATTAAGGCTAACATTAAAACAGCTAGTATTTGAACTTAAGTATCAAAAAGTCACAAGTGGATAGGGCTTTTAGAGGTAGATTGCCACCCTAAAAAGTATTCATTAGCTTCAAAGCTAACTGATAACTCAATAAGCAGAGGCTAGATGTGGTTGCTTCATTTGAGATTGGGTGATAGTTAAAATGCTGCTGCCCTTTCAGAATAGTGGTGACTCAGAGGTGGCATAGGTACTCCACCCTTCAAGAAGCAGCAGTTCTGTAGATGGGAGAAGGCCTCCCATAGATGCACCACTGTCTACACAGATGTTGGATCTGTACAAGTATGCTGCTCAGGGGCATGACCCAAGCAACATTGCCACACAGTGATAATATAGACCAAGCTTCAGGAGTACAGATCAGATGTCAAGAGGGCCCATAGTACTGCCTATAGTTATATCTATGTTGCTATCTGGGTGACTGCAGCATAACTAGATATGAGTGAGCTAGCTGAAAGCAAATGCAGCAGAGTCCACACATGCTGCAGTCACACCTTTGCTTGCAGTGTAGAATCACCCTCAGTCTCAAAGCAGGCTAGCTCAGCAAAACTGAGACAAATTCCTCTGTTGTTCAAACTAGACTACAAGTTGCACTGCTGGTGGTTTTGAATGTTTCTGTGAAGATAAGAGATGTGATAGTACAAGATTTGAGTTCTGCGGAAATGAAGTTTCTTCCAATAATGCAGCTCAGCCTCTTACCCACATTCAACCTGTGCTTGAACCAGAAGCATGGAATGGAAGCAAAAGCATCTATGATACCACTGGGAGAGACTGAATTAAATGAGCTGCCTAAATTTAAGACTAGGGCTGCTACTTAAGCTCTTCCCAGAGCTCAGTCTCATATTACCCCAAGCTTTAAAAAAAAGATTTAGTGTTAGATAAGCCACTGAGTAGAAGCTCACTGGCAGTAGCAATTTATGCCAGGCTGTTTAGGCCAGGATTGCTGGGGCTGGAGTCCTAATGTGATGTGAAGGCACCACAGAGGAAATAAAGTATATTCTAGCAACACACTTTCATCAATGCCAGTTGAGAGCCTGGTATAGAGCTAGATTGGGCTTTACAATTGGGTATGCAGGAAGGGAGGAGTATTTCAAAGGTAAAAAATTGAGTCCAAGAACCTAACCATTATGAAGATATTGAAGAAGGGTTGCTATCAAGCATGTGGCTTCTCTGCAGTTTGAGAACCTGGTTACTATATCAGCACTTTGAAAAAAGTTTCATTAAGCTAGAGCTTAACTACCCCTGGCACAACAGGAATCCATAGCAGCCTTTTCTTCTGGCAGAAAGACGGCTAGCCTTGCTGGGTAGCTTCCAGATAGCCAGATCCCTCAACATCTTTTTTTTTTTTTAAGCTCTGAGTTTAGGGTAGATGTCTCAATACCACCTAAGCAGATATTAACAGCAGCAAGTCTTATGGGTTCAGGAAACATTTGAGAGAGCTCAGTGCCCAGCAACTCTGAGGAAAAAGGGGAACTGAACACACAAGAATCTGGCTGCTCCCATTTTGATGCCAGGAGGGGAAGGTGTATGATAGAGCCATTAGAGCCTGTAACAAAGCAGTGTTGACAGACGCATATATATTTGAGAAGGAAATAAACATGCTTCTTGAGGCAGAGTTAGTCCTACAGTTCAGGTATTGATAACTGAGGCTAACCAGCCATTAGAAAAGGCCAGCCACTATATTCAGGAATATTATTACTCATGAGAGTGTTCTCCTTACCAGTTGTACTGGTTAGTGGCATTATAAAATCCAATACTACCTGCATTTGATTTGTTCCTGTACACAAGTTTTGGGACGGTTACTTGCCCAGGTATGACGTTTTCAGCTTCATACACCTAGATCTTCATTAGTTTTGATAGCCCCAGGAACATTAGCAAGAGGAATCAAAGTTTTCAAACTGATTCAATATTTCATTCAGAACACAGAACGCAACACCTCACCTGTCAAAACTTTTCAGGAATAGATGGCTCAATTTACACTTGATAGCAAAATACTGTACACCCAGAAGGCCCCAGTTAAGTCAATGGAAGCTGCTAGATGCTCACTTTTGAAAGTCAGCTGCTTATAAGGCTGTTTGATTTTTTTTTTTCTTTTAAAAAGGTGGCCTCCGGTTAGGCTCAAGTTTATTCTTCTCTGCTTTGGACTCATACCTAGCTAAGCTCTTTTTATGCTATGAGTAACTAAAACTAATAGTCTCGCATTTTTACATATGGCCTGCTGGAACGGTCCTTAGGAGTCTGCCATCAAGGAGTTGGACATGCTAATAGTTTTTTTTTGGTGGGAAGGGGAATTTAATCCTTTTAAGGGGTATTAGAAGAATTTTATTCTAGCATGAGTCAGCCTTCTATTTTTGTGCAGGATTAGTGTTGCCCAAGCTTTTGCCATTCAGCTTTATTACTGAAAATATGGATCCTCATCTTTCTTTCTACTTTACTCTGCAGAGAAGTTGGAATCCTATGCTTAACAGTTAAGATAATTCCATATCTGGAACTGCACTACCACAATAGGCTTGAACAGGAGAAGAAAGGTGTAATTTCAAATTGCTAAAGACCATAAGAAAGGTAAAGCCATGTTAAAGTATTGGCAAAGTACTTAAAGGTTACCATGTGTAGGTTATGATTTTACCTTCTTTCTGCTTCAGGGAAAGAAAGCTTAACACCTCCAAGTGCTCTGCTGAACTGTACTTTAACTAGCTTCCTGACCCTGCTATGGAAAACTGGAAGAACTGAGGTTTAGCGCCTTTTGTCTCTACACAGACACACACAGCTGGCCTGTATCAGCTGACTCAGTTTGCAGGACTGTAAAGTTGCAATAATGACATTTGGATTCAAGCAGGAGCCAGGGCTCTGGAGTCCTGGCAGGTGGGAGGAGTGTCCTGGAGCTCAGGCTCCTTCCTGAACCCAAACAGCTACCCTTCTATGGTAGAGAGTTTAACTGTAGACATACCGACCCTTCCTCAAGAAATATAGAAGAGTCAAGACAAACGGTGGCTGCTTAGCTCGCTTAACTAGATTCAAGACACATACCACTTTGAAGAACAATTCTCCCCTTCATAGGAAAGGGGTTGCCTAGCCTGCACTTCAGGAATTAATCATGCAATATGGCCTGATTTCTGCCTTTAGTCCCTCATGGGATGTTCTGTCTGTGTTACACCAATTAGCAATCTCATTAAGCTTACATCTCTTCTCAAGTGGTAGAGAAGAATTTCAGTAGCTCTCAATGGCACCAGCTGAGCTGTTTGAACTAGTGAAAGTAATATTGTTGAACTTGGAAAGGTGCATCTCCAGTGAGACAGGAAGCGATTAGGTTACTTTCGGTAAGAGTTTGGTCCTGCCTGAAGGTGTATAGGAATATGCATTTGTAGAAGGCACATTTAAATAACAGTCTCAGATATATTTAGGTAAGTGTTTGGAGTGTGCCCATCTGATGAGAAACAAGCATGCCTTTTTAGTTCTGTACTTGGTAGAGAAGAAGTGGAAGAAAGGGGATATTAAAATAAACTTTAGCATAGGTATGCTAGTCTTAGTTGAAGACATTCCTGGGAAGGTTTGCCCAGTCAAAAAAGGCTTCCTGTTCCTTTGTCAGGCTTCAGACAATTTTATACTTAAACAGTGTTTCAATACTTGTAATTGTTTTGAGGTTTTAATTGTGTCAAGGACTTTAGTACATACAAGTTCACATTCTGGGGAATAGTTGTCATCTGAGAAATTCTCTTCAGAAACTTGGCACCCAAAAAAAAAAAAAAAAAAAAAGAGAGGACTTCTAGCCAGTCCTACTGTCAAACTCCCAAAAAAGTAATTTTCAACTCTTCTAGGAAAGATACACAGCTATTTCAGCTATCAATCATTTCTGGAGCCCCTCCATTGGAGAAAAAAACAAAAAGGGCAATATCCATTCTGTAAAGCTGTTGCAGGGAGGGGAGAACAGCTTATACAACAATATTCCAATGGGGGGGTAGGTGGGGAACAAACCTGACCATTACCTCAGATGGAGGGAGTGTCAAGTGAGCAGGGGAGGCAATAAGGAAGTACACAGGCTGATCCTGTTACTGCTCTAGGACAGAATGTCTTTGGTTCCATACAAGTTATTCTTGTAGTTACCTCTCAGTGAATAAGCAGCTATATTAAAGTACCTATATCAAATGTGCAATAGCTATGGCCTCAAATTTATAACTAGTTGCAAACATGAGGCCATGGGCTCCCTTCCCCTAACAAAAATAAGGGCAATAAGGCTTCTTGTGGCTTCTATACACAGGGTCCTGAAAGGCTTCACCTTGCCCCTTTTAAACCAGGAGTCTAGTGGTGTGGTCACTAAACAGCAGAGCCAGAGATTCCCTTTAGATAATCTCGGGCTAATTAATGGTTCCCACCACACAAGAATCCATTTATCAAACACTCCAGTTAGAGATTAGTTACACGGCAGCCAGGTGGGATAAGACTGGCTATAGGGGATGGGAGCATTTGAAATGTAGTAGTTGCTGAAGTTGCCATCACTGACATAGGGTGCTGGCTGATAGTAACAGGTAACATTAGTGGCATCAGGTATGATGTTTTGTTCTGCCAGTACTCTAAATGCTAGCAGTGAGATCAGGTTGAGAGTCTGTCTCCGCTCGTGTCCCATGAGGCACACTGTGCTCTCATTTACTACCTTGCGCAAGATCATGAGATAGTCATATTTGCTCCTCTCCTCTTTGGAGAAGTGGTTCTGGAGGTAAGTCTCGAGTTTGCGCTGCTGATCCAGAATGTCAGGAAAGTCTATGAAGAACCGGGAGCACATGTAGCGCTCTAGAGTTTTGATCTCCTCTTTGTCAGTGGGCCTGAAATCCCGCACTAAGAGGTTACTATATTTCAGCAGCCCACCACCTCGGATCTCCTCAGGGTTCTTAGTAGCTATCAGTCTATTTCGGAGGTGATCAAAGGCTGCCTCAAAGTCTCCATACATGCTCTCTCCAATCACAGTTGGATGGAAGTGCTCTGACATAGGATTTTCAGAGCAATCATAGTAAAACAGCAAGGAGTCTAGTATTATTTGGAAAGAGTCCACACTGAACTCAAACTGTCGTCGTATGCGATCTACAAATTTTAGCTCTACATTCCTGCCATGTTTGTTGGAGAGTGATATTAAGCTCCATCGGTCCATCTCTGTGCAAACTTTCACTAGCTTTTGGATGTAGGCTTCCTTCAGAGTCATTGGGCTGATTTTTAGTTTGCTTACCCCCTCTGGCAAGAAGTTTAAAAGGGACCGCAACACTACATCTCGGACCAGCTGAAACTCTGTCTCTCTTGGAAGGGACACTTGAAAAATTAGGTCCAGATCTTTGCAACCCAGCCCATTATCCTTGACCAAGACATGACCAGCTGCAGAGCCATTCAGCCGCACATCGTGTACTTGGATGCCTGCCTCATCCAGTCGGCTGCGCACAGTTTGAACAATGTCCTTCAGGGTTATCTTCAGTGTTGGGAAGTTGCCCCGTCCATGAATTGGAACCACATCTGTCAGAACTTCATGCAGACGGCTGACCTGCTCCCAACTCAGTACACTGCATGACATGCAATCAGTATTACTTCCTTTGCCTGCCATCTTAGGGTTTGATCTTCTCTAGAGAAACTGGAAGAGAAAAAAAAAACACATTTTAAAATACATTTTGCTGGGTTACAATAGAGCACAGACTATACATCCAGGAAGTTAGTCTATCCATATTTTCATTATACATGGTGCTTGAAAAGCCATTCATCTGCACTCCAATAGTGATCAAGAACTTGAGAGCAGATGTTCAGTCTGTCTTGTGGCAGACAGAAGTAATTTCATGCTTAGTTTTGCTGTGAAAGACATTCTTAGCTAGAAACTGACCTATAGTACAAGCCCACATGCTGCTGCTTCACATAATTGTGGTTTAAAATGAATGGATTAAGGGCCTGAGTTTCACAGATACTATAAATCAGAGACAATACTGGAGATCAGATACAATATATTTCTATTAACAGCTGAAATTAGATGGTCTTCCAGCATCCTGGAGTTTGGTAGCATAAAAAGTGCATGCCTTAACACACCACAGTTAGTGGAGCTGGATTTCTCTGAGTCCCAACTAAAGATGTTAAATTGCAGTTAACTGACTAATCAAGTCATTCCATTGACTACTCAATGTACATTTCAAAGGAGGAATGCAGAATATCACATGCAGCCCCGGGCCAGCGGGAAGTCCCGCTGACTCCACGCTGCACATGGGTGCCAGCTTCGAAATGTACAAGAGACCCCACTGGGGGCCTCTTGTGCATTTCAAAGTCACAGTGCAGCATAGAGCCAGGGTTAGCAGGGTGACCCCAGGTTCCACGCTGAGCTGCCGATTTGAAATGCCACACAGAGCCAGAGTCAGCTGGGGACAACCCAGCTTATCCCACGTTCTGCAGAAATGCTGTGCTGGAGCCCAGGATCAGCCGGGGAGTCCCCTGCTAACCTTGGGCTCCACGCATGGCAGTGCCACAGCTGACCCCAGGCTCAGCTGTGAGGCACTGCCCTTTGATGTACTACCCCTTCTCCCCCTGACCCTTTGACTAGCCACCTATCCAATATGCATTTGCTTAAGAACATAAGAATGGCCAAACTGGGTCAGACCAAAGGTCCATCTAGCCCAGTATCCTGTCTGCTGACAGTGGCCAATGCCAGGTGCCCCAGAGGCAATGTACCGAAGACCATGATCAAGCAATTTGTCTGACATCCTTCTCCAGTCTTTGACAGACAGAGGCCAGGGGCACCGTTCCTTACCCCCTGGCTAATAGCCTTTTATGGACCTAATCTCCATTAATTTATCTAGCTCTTTTTACACTTTATTATAGTCCTAGCCTTCACAGCCTCCTCTGGCAAGGAGTTCCACAGGTTGACTGTGTTGTGGGAAGAACTCTTATTAGTTTTAAACCTGCTAACTATTAATTTCATTTGGTGTCCCTCAATTCTTATATTATGGGAACAAGTAAATAACTTCTGTTTATTCACCTTCTCCACACCATTCATGATTTTATATACTTCTATACTCTTTTCTAAACTGAGGAGTCCCAGTCTCTTTAGCCGCTCCTCATATGGGACCCATTCCAAACCCCTGATCATTTTAGTTGCTCTTTTCTAATGCCAAAATATCTTTGAGGTGAGGAGACCACATCTGTATGCAGTATTCAAGATGTAGGCATACTATAGTTTTATATAGGGCAGTAAGATATTAGTCTTATTTTCTCTCTCTTTTTTAATATCGGATAGTCAATTAGTCTTCAACATCCTTTGTTCAAACTCAACTTTTACAACTGAAAGTTTAGGTGAGATTTACACTAGATCTGGAAGATCACCTTAAGGAACCCAACTGCAGGTACATAAAATACATAACTGGAGCCTGCTTGCCTTAAGCCGAGCTTGGAGTGGATCTTCAGTGGGGGGGCTGATGGAGCAAACGCTCACGTCTGCATCCCTTACTCTTTGTGACGGCAAGGCATCATCAGCACTGACTGGAATTGCCCTCAGCATTCAGTTCAGTGGGTCTTAACTAGACCCACTAAAATCAAGTGCCAGACGATCGATCTCCAGCATGGCAATTGGAGACATGGCCTAAGATACTTCAGGGCCCTGAATGAAAGCTGCAACTGCACCCAAGTCAGATAAAAGCTAAAGCAACTACATTATTCTCAGCAGCTTGATATGAAGAAGCAAAGTCTGACGATGTCTAGTCTGAGTTCAGACCTTTTGAAGACTGTTGTGGTTGTGTTGAAGTTACACTGCAAGAATTTGTTAACTTGCCTAAGTAGCTTTATTTAAAAGTGTTATTTACAGATCTTGTCTAGAGCTATTCAATTCCAACTGATGTTAAGTTACATATCAAAAGAGAGGGGTGGCCACCTCAAACAGGAGGAAAGACACCTTCAGGAACCATTGTGTTAGACCTACACAATCACTTCAGTGCTCAACATTCCCTTAAGGCTCTAGATCACTAAGCCAAAACATGAGATCCTAGGCCTCATTTTATTTTCATTCTTGAAGATTTACCTGGTGTTGCTCAGGACCTTAATTTTTTTTTTTTTAAATAAAATGAAAGTGCACGCCTCATTTGAATCTTTGCTCTGGGATGTGGCCGAGGGGATTGGTATGCAGGCTGCCCCAGGAAAAGAGGACTACCCCAGCAGGCACAGGCAGGGGAAGAGTACATGTCCAGATTTGTCTAGGCCCCCCCAGCACTCCCCACTCAGAACAAGGAATGCAGTAAGTCGTGCACTTTCCCCTTGCTCCCTGACAGTGGGAATATCCAGTACAGGCAGTCCCCAGGTTACGTACAAGATAGGGACTGTAGGTTTGTTCTTAAGTTGAATCTGTATGTAAGTCCGAACTGGTGTCCAGATTCAGCCGCTGCTGAAACTGATCAGGGGCTTCCTGGAGTCAGCCGCTGGTCAGTTTCAGCAGCAGCTGACTTGGGGACGCCTAGGGCAGAGCAGCTGGGGTGCTGCTGGGTTGGTCCAGTAGCGCCCAGAGTGGCGCTACAGCTGGGGCACTGCCAGTTGGTCCCGCTGTACCACAGGCGTCCAGAGCAAAGCCGCAGAGCACGGGGCAGCGGGACAGCCCAGACGCGCCGTGGCTGTCCTGCTGCCCTCGGGCTCCGCGGCTTTGCTCTGCTTTGCTCCCCGTCTCCCTGGTCTGCAGAAGGATTTTTGCAGTTGTGAGAAACTTAACCCTAAAAATCAAAAGCCTCTCTAAGCTACTGGTTCTAGTCATGTGAGATTACATGAACTGTTAAATGGTAGTGGTATAGTGACAAGTTTCTAAAAGGCTTGGGAAATCAGAGCCAAGTAAGCCATAAGTTTACACTAACTTCCCAACCCAAAATGCTTCATATAAATAAGTGCTATATTAGAAGCAACCTACATCCTATTATGAAGCCATTGTTTCAAACCCCAGATAAATGATGCCTCTTTTACTGAGCATGCTGGAAAGAATATTGTACCAAATGAAGCTTGAGGGTGTAATTCTAGCCAACAGCATGCCTGTTCACTTTCCTCCTATAAAGAATACCATTAACCTTTTACTTGTGTATATTAAACACACCTAAATACTTTCAGATTCTTATAGTGTCCCTCCATCTGCTATTTAGAGGGGTACTTTTTTTAAACAGTTCTCTCCTTTAGTGTCTCAAGGCAAGCTATAACATTCACATGTCACTTCTTAGTTACAGGCCTAGGGCAAGAGGAACTAGTCTAAGATACCTGGAGTGGTACAATAGGCAAACTGCTTGTATCACTTTGTGACACTAATTAGAATAAAATATTTTATGATAATTACAGCAGTGAGTACTTCTTGGTCATCAAATAGTGTTAGAGATTCTTAACCATTTTAAATGTTGACTGCAGGTATACTCAAAATAGCTTTGGCTATGCTATGGCATTACATGTGGGGTATAGTAATATATATATCAACTGCAGAAACAAGTTTGTATTTAATAAAAGGAAAGCATTTGGCAGTCTACATTTGGTTTCAGTGACTAGACAATGACAGGTTGGAATGTTGACTCAGCTGTAGCTATATGCTTGGTAATTTGAAGTATAATTATACTTCTGCACACTATGGTTAACTTCATTTAACTATTATAGAGTTACCATTACATACTTTAAAATTCCAGTCTATGTTGGACTTCTGCAAGTATGTTATATACAGCCCCAACAGTTATTGCTAGGGCTGTTACCACAGCCAAATTTATACTTTGTTTCCTTCATTGTAAAGGCACACAGTCATAGCAAAATATGCCCTGTGTATTTGTTTCATAGAGGTCAGAAGCAACCACTGCTCAGCTAGTCTAAGCTCTTGTGTAACAAGAGCCATAGAACTTCCTGGAATTTTTTAGAAAGATATCCATACTGGATATAAAATTAGTCAGTGATGGAGAATCTACAACCCCTGGTAAATTGCTCCAGAGATCATTTACTCACCATTAAATTGATATCTTATTTCCAATCTCAATTAGTATAGGTTCAACTTCTGACCACTGGATCATATTGTACCTCTCTGCTAGACTGAAAAGTCTCATCTGGGAGAGCATCTGCAGGTAGCACACTAGCTGCAGCACTTCAGTGTAGACACCCAGGAGCTAGGTGAATAGAAGACTTCCTCTGACTTCGCAAGGTCTATGCCAGTGGTGAGGAACCTAAGGCCTGAAGAGCCAGATGCAGCTCCTAGTTGCCTGGATCTGACCCCCGAGGCTCAGGGCTTCTTCCCCAACATTGGTGTGCCAACGTGGGCTCTCCCACAGCCCCCAATCAAAAAAGTTTCCCCACCCCGGTCTACACTACAGCTGAGCCTCAGGGCATGTGGATTTCTCCAAAGCCCTGGCATACAAAGCTCTAACGATGTGAAAGCCTCACAGGCACCAGCTCTCTGTACCCGTTCTCAAAGGGGGAGAGGGGTTATTTCTAGATTACTCAAGTCACCCCTTAGGTTACAGGCTCCCATTAGCTCCCTCGCAGCGTTCTTGTTCAAAGGGCGCCGCTGGAAGGGAGCGGGCGCGTTTCCCCCGTGGCCAGCAGGTTTGAAGTCTAGCAAAGACAGGGGGTACCTGCCTCACAGGCACCAGCTCTCTGTAC